GGCAGGCTGAAGGAGCAGTGGGCCCAGCAGCGGTCCTCGCGGGAGGCGGAGCACCGGGGGGCGCTGGAGCGTGTGCGGGCCGCCCACGCCCTGGAACACGCCTCCTCCAGGGCCGCAGAGCAGGCCAACCAGCTGCACAGCCAGCAGGTACACACACACACACACACACACACACACACACACACACACCCCAGAGTCACCTCACCCCACTGTCCCCGCAGATAGCCATCAGACATCTACAGGAGCAGCTGAAGGAACTGAAGGGATGCAAAGAGGCCCTGCAAGTGTCCAGGAGCAGAGAGGACGCTCTGCAGACGCAGGTGGGCAGCCCTGGAGTTCCAGGGACTAGGGTTGTCACGATACTAACATTTTCAACTGGATACCGATACTCAGGAAAATACTCGATACCATTTACGATACCACAAGGATAAAAACAAAGACCCCAAAATGTAACTGAATTGTGTCTTTCATTTCAAACTGACCTGTTACTGATGGTATCATGACTGGTGGCCCACATTAATAACCCTAACCCTAACCCTAACCCTCCAGCCTTCATAATTGTGAGAAATAAATATTTTTTGGTTTAACTTGTTTGGACTTATTGTACAAACCTTTTTAACATACACTATTTTAACATAATATGTATAGAGTTTAATTAAGTGTTTGAAAGATTCATTTAATTATTTTTAAATTAATGTCTATATTGCCATGAAGCAATTAGGATTTTCTTGCCTGGGATCTTCCTATTGGTGACCTAATCAAAATGGCCGACTTGGATGTGGGCGGAGTCGGATATGTACTTGATTAATGGTAGCATGTTACTATTAGCCATTAGCCGCAGCTAGCAAGGCTAACGTCTTGTTAATGATCATAAACAACGTAAATAAATACATAAATAAATCAGAGAGAAGGGGCTCGCGTGGTTAGTATCGATACTTTTGAAAATGAGTATCGTATCCGGATACAACATTTTAATATCGATACTTTTGAAAATGAGTATCGTATCCGGATACAACATTTTAATATCGATACTTTTGAAAATGAGTATCGTATCCGGATACAACATTTTAGTATCGATACTTTTTCGAGTATCGATACTTTTGACAACCCTACCAGGGACAGTATTTAGGAGGGTTTTCCCTGACCAGCAATCACCCGCCCGTGAATTCTCGGTGTGTTGGTTCTGGTTTTGTGTGCAGCTCACACGGCTGCTGCAGGAGCTGAAGGAGGCCAAAGACGCTCAGAGCTCCGAGGTCAAGCTGCTGTGCGGCCTGGAGAGGAAGATCCTGAACATGGAGCTCAGACACCAGAGCAGAGAGAAGGAGCTGCAGCAGGTGACTGCTTCTGTCCCCTCGCTAACATTCCCGCCTGTGGCAAACAGCAGAAACCTAAAAAGCTTGTGGACTGTGGGTTTTTAAAGATATCCTCAGGTGTCTTTAGCTGGATGTATCTTGTAAACAGCAGTAATGCTGTTTTCTCTGAAAGGATCTGGCGTTATTTTAGTCGATACTGATTCATGGTAGCATATTAAACTGACATTTCAAGGGTTAAAATATGCTGCAATCACTTTGAATGGTCACATTTAAAAAAAAAAACAGTAAAAACACAATGAATAGAATATTTATCTAAACACAGAACCTTTAGCTCCAGCAGTCAGCTGCCTCCAAATCATCAAACCTGAACCGAGACCACATCATTCTGAACAACATGTCGTATTTGCTGTGATCATTAAAAAAAATATATAAATCCATTTGGTGAAATTCCTGAAATGGCAAAATCTTAAATATCAAGAGGACTGCTGAGGCCTGACCATTTGATTTGTATAAGACAAACTCTGTTTATTCAGATATTAACCAGAGTTTTAGAGTCATTGGGGACCTTTAAAAGACTTTGAGACCTTTTTTCTGCTTCCATTTTCTTTGTGGGAGATCATGCAGACAGAAAATACTGAACATAATGGCAGACATTAGTTGAGTAGAAGCCAGAGCAGAGGGAGAGACCATGTCTTCACTGAGGGGGTGTCTGGACCCTGTGTCAGCAGGTCATCGGGGGGACGCTGCAGCTGAGTGGAGCTGACCTGCAGGCGGAGGTAGAGCGCTGGAGGCGTCTGGCTCAGGACAAGAGCAGAGAGCTGGAGGCCTTCCGCTTGGAGCTGGACTCCATCCTGGACATCCTGAGACACCTCCAGAGACAGGGAGTGGTCCTGGCCTCGCCGGAGCAGAAGATCCCAGCCGCCCTCCTCCAGAGGTGTTGACCCACACCCAGGATGTTGATGTCCCCTCTGTGTCGGAGGCAGGTCAGGAGCCTCATCACCCTCCTCACACACACATTCCCAAACATCCACACAATCATCGGGTCTGATTCACAGATCATCTCTTTCTTTTAGTAAGATTAAATGTATACATATGCTAATTTAAGAACTGCAGTCTGGTTTTTATGTACTTGTTTGTAAGTTATTGAGGAGATGGTGAAAATAAAACTGCACAAACCTTTTAGTGAGCTGTATTTTTTCTAGAGGTCTGACTGTTTGGTGCTTTCTGCTTTTGTCCTGTTAAGTGATGCATATTCACAGCCTTCTGTGAGAGAAAAACAGGAGTACTTTTAATCTACATAAAGCACTTTGTGTTGCATTTTTTTATGTATGAAAAGTACCTAATAAAGATTGGTGTATATTTTCTATCTAAATCACAAAATTATAAAGACAAAATTATAATTTTTTAGAATAGAAATTGTGCTGTTTATTTTAGAGGCCTTTTTTTCGGAAATGACCAACATATTGACCAGGGTCACAAAGAAATTAAAAAATATATAAATTAAAAATAATATTGTGTTGATACTTTTAGATTTTAACATCTCTGCAAAAGGCCATTGTTTCCGGTAAAAAAATGACCAGAGATGAAAGCCTGTCAGAGCATACACACCTGCAGAGGTTCCCCTGTGAGGTTAGCTCACCATCGACATTAAAGCTAGCGGAGCCTTAAGAATCCGTAGGTTCTTTTCCAAAATGGAAACGCCCTGCCCATCCAGCCAGCAGAATACGTTTCAGGAACAGTTCCTGTTGTGAGGACCTAAAGGTCTGGTTATCTGGTTAAATACAAAACTAAATGAATTGTTTTTAAATCTTTCTTTTCATTTATTTGCTTTTTAAATACCCTCACAGCTATGAAAACTTTAGTGTAACTGGAATTAGCCTTAAAAACCACATGTTCAATAAAGTCTAAGTGGTTCCAAACACCAATATTCACTTTTAATTCCATGTTTGAAACTGGTGAGACGGCCAAAAGAGACTGTTGGACATGGCTCGTTCATCTGGAGTGGATTTATTAATCACATGACACACCTCGGTGTGTTGGACAGGAAAACCCCTCAGATACTGTCCTTTGTCTCCGGTAACATTCAGGTCCTGAGCAGCAACACGAGACACTCGGATTCACTCACCCCGTCTGTAAGGCAGTGGCCGGGACTTAAGAGGTGAATCTGACCTGAGGGCAGAAAATGGCTCGCTCTGACTCCAGTCAGAGTTTAAAAAAGGCTTTAAGACTGATGACCGGTCTTTGAAGAACTGCTGATTACCTCTGAAACAAAGAGACTTCTACTACACACACGTCCTTCTCTTTTACTCATTTCATTGTACACCTATAGCTTTGTCCATAAAACTGTCCCAGACCAGAGGACTTCCTCCTCTGGACTGCTGGCCGCGTCGTGTCCTCGTGCACAGAAACACGCTTCATAAAAATCCATAAATAAAATAAATCTTTCCGCCCCCCGTGGTCTGGACCGGAGTGGGACCCCCTAAAGGCAGAGCTGCTCATCCCTGGAAGGCGTGCAGCTCCTCCTCGCCGACGCCAAGCTGCTTCAGCAACCTGAGGGGTGACCACAGAGGAGAGGGAGACGGTCAGAGCTGGTCAGAGCCGGTCAGAGCTGGTCAGAGCCGGTCAGAGCTAACCGAGCACAAGCTGCTCTGATCTGAACACATCTGGGGAGGAGCTATCAGGCTGGATAACGGCCCAGGTCACTGCCAGGCTAAAAACTGCGAGTCAGGGTGAGGCTGACCTTTGACCTGCTGAAGAAAACAAAGCTAACGTGACCTCATTAGCCTCAGATTAGCTTAGCTTCCTGACACGACTCCCTTGAGTTCATTGTAACATTTTCTGCTAACAGGTGAAAGCACCGAGCACGGACTGCACCGGTCATTAGAGGGCCTGGACCGGTCATTAGAGGGCGTGGTCCTCCTACCCCGTGGCTATCTCTGTGAAGGCCGAGGGCCCGCACACGCACGCGTAGCTCCTGGAGCCGTCCGTCCTTTCCAGCGTCCCGTCCAGCATGGCCTGGTCAACGCGGCCCCTCCGGCCCGTCCAGCCGTCCGAGGGCTCCGAGAGGACGTACTCCACCTGAAACCTGTCGGACAGCACAGTCCTGAGAGCTCATCCTGAGCTGGACTCACTCTGTTTTTTAAAAAGAGAGAGGAGGCCGCTGTACCGGTCACTGGAGGCCGCCAGCTCGTCCAGCTCCCGCCGCCACAGGATGTCCTCCTCCCGCCGGTTAAAAAACAGCAGCTTCGTTAATCTGAGGAGACACAAGACACGTTTACGGGTCGACATGTCCTCCACGCTGCACGTTTAAGGGTAAAAGAACGAGTAAGTACCCAATGTAGACCCAATGCCTTCTGGTCTGATAGACTCCAGGAAGATTTTGGACAGCTGACCACCCATTCAGTGCTCATTTTTAAAAGGTTAAAGGTTACACAGCGTAAGTTCACGCATGGGTGGAATCTCATCAGAAGGCTCTCTGATCAAACCAAACACTTCCATGCTCCCCTGTCAGTTTGCCGGCTTTTCCTCCACAGAACCAAGGAAGTTTTTCCTTGCCTGTGTCGCCTAGTGCTTGCTCATGGTGGGAATTGTTGGGTTTCTGTAGTTAACTTCAGATTAGGGTCTGACCTGCTCTGTTTGGAAAGCGCTGTGAGACAACTGTTGTTGTGATGTGGCGCTATAGAAATAAAATTGAATTGAAATTGAATTGAAGAACCACAAAACCAGCTCAGCCGATCCACTGTGAATCAGTTAATCCAAACCAACATTAACGGGGCTTTCTTCGCAAACTTCCAAGGCCCTTTGGCCAAACACTCCAAAAGGAAAGTCTTTGATCAACAGCTACTGAAGATGAAAATAAGGTCAGGGATTTAAGTTGAGCTCGGCTTGTGAGAATGTCTGTGTAATGGTTTTGTCCTGCTGGCCGATTTGGGCTCAGTAAATGGAAGTGAAGAGAAATCTAAATAAAGATTTGGAGCATATTTGGCTGGATTAGAAATGAGATTGATAAAATATTTCTTAATTTCAAATACACAAAATCTTTAAATATCTTTCTAGCTAAAGATCAAAATATTAAAATACTTCAATTGACGATTTAGAAAAGTCTGGTAGTAGACCCTTTATTTAGTTTTGGGGTGAAAAATGTTAAAAGAAAAAGAAAATAGAATGAAAATTGTCATTTCTACTTTGAATATTGCTGTTTAAGGTTCAATTTCATGTGGTTTAGATTTGTTTGAAGAGCTGGCAGTTGTATCTGTGTGGACTGAAGAGGTTAGAGAGCAGGGATGGTTTAATGGGTTGACTGGTTTAACTGGCTGCTCTCACCTGATGCTCTCTGAGCTGTGGAGGGCCAGGTGGATGAGGCGGGCCATGGGAGTGAACCCGGTACCCGCCGCTAGCAGGTACAGGCTGGTGATGTCACGAAGGGGGCGGAGACTGAAGTTACCTTCTGGTCCACTTACAGATATGCGCTCACCTATGTGGACAAACACAATGACTCTAGTTTTAAAACATCACATCATCCTGAATCACAAAACAGATGCTTTTAAAGCCCAAGCCTGTGCTGATGGACTTAAGGATACAAGACTTTACAAAACCACGCGCACACACACACACACACACTTCTGGGCGGGAGTCAGACTCGTTCCCGGAGCTCAGAGCCACTCACCGATGTTCAGGCTGTTGATATACGGAGTGAAGACTCCATCCGGGTAAACTTTGATCATGAGGTAGAGGTCTGAGCCCTGTGGGGAGGGGGGGGAGGCTGCTACCAGACTCTGATCCACTGGAGTGTATGGTCTCACCACCTCGGTGTCTGGACAAGACGGAAGAGGGAAATAAAGCCATATCAGTCCGGAGAGGTGAAACATCGCGTATCAGGCTGTTTAGAAACCCCGGTTTATTTCCACTGATCGGCTGCCTACATCTTTATTAAAGTGATACCATACTGACTTACGGGACTTAAATGTATTTGCTCCCCGCTCATTTTTAAGTACAACCAGGATCGACATAATTTTGCCTTTAGTACCACATTAGCAAAAGCCACAAGAACACAACTGCTAGCATAATGTACGAATCCTACAAAGGAATGAAACAGCACTTTTGATTTTAGCGCTGAAGGAGCTGAGAAACACATGGAAGGCTGATGCAGCAGCTCATCTGGCCTCACTGACCCTCTGGCTTACTGACCCTCTGGCTTACTGACCCTCTGGCTGTCTGAATCTGTTTACTTTGCTTGGCTTTGCTGGAGAAAGGAGCAGGCGTGCTGCAGGTTTGGAGTCATTCTCCCTCTTTTCTCTTAGGCTGTGAAGGAAACTGAAGTTCAGGTTGATTCCTTTCATGTAACTTATGAAAATGATTCCCCAGAGTTCCCTATAAGCTCTCTGCATCATGACTAAGGGGAAACGCACAACATTATCGTCCATCTAATGTAACAGATTAGGGGCTGAAATATAGGTAATAATCTTCATATAACCTCGATTTCATTATTGTCTAAGTTTAAAAAATGAAGCCTCAGAAAGCACATTATATATCGATCTCTCTCTCTATATATACATATATATTCATTGTTCTATTTTTGTATTTTTAATCTTTAATGCTTTATTTTTGGTTTATAAAAGTGAATTATAAATATATTCCCCTAAATCAAAGTGATAGCACATCCAAATGACATCAGAAAAACATAAGAGCCTCTGTAGATCCTCACCTTGGATCTGGGCTTTGAGGTAGACGTGTTTTCCCACCGGCACCTGCAGAACAGTGCCGCGCGGGGGCTGCAACCTGAACACGTGTGTGTTATGGTTCACTTCAGTCTTGGACACCAACACATAATCTCGATAGAACGGAGCTGTGGGAGGGACAGAATCGGGGAATTCTCTTTTATCCATGTTCCTTTTCACAGAGCAGAAAGTGAGCTGTTATCTCAGGACATCTGACCGATCAGCTCCTGTTATCTCACCTCTGTCTTTTTTGCATAGAAATGTGTTGTGGGAGTCCAGCGGCTGACCCAGACTGGTCCACTTCCCGGCGGTCAGCTTGCGCAGGATGATCTGGATCTTTCCCACAGTGAAAGCAGTCTGGACTGGACAGAAGGGGTGTTGACACCGGACAGTTAACCGCACGCCACAAACACAGAGCTAAGACTGAAATGTTAACTGAAAGGGTTAGAGCTCCGTTTGTTGACCAGAGGGAGAGTTTAATAGCATTAAACATATTTCAATTTATACTTTTAAAAGAAGAAGGTTACTAAAGGGATCTACATCTCTTACATTTTCCTTAAAAAATAAATAAAAATAAGCACCAAATACTGCTTCAGTATCACTGAAATCTTCAAAATACTGATTCCTATCCGTTCTCTTACCAGAAATGCTGCCCTCCACTTCATCAGCTAGACCTGAAAACACATGAAGGGTCATTTTAGAACCAAAACTCTTAAATGAACCGATACAGTGAGTTCCTGGTTTAATTATTCTGAATAATCGCCCTTTAGAGGACCTTCACTGAGATATTTCACTGAGATAATTAGGACAGATCAGCAGGTAAACTAAAGTTGTGAACTTAATCAGTACAGCCTTCAGTTAAAACAGAGCTCACAGACCTGAACGCTCGACAGGAAACACAGAGGTAGGAAAGTCAAAGGAATAGAGATCAGAGAGGTAACCAACGATCACATTCCCACTAAAAATCAACTCGCCTCAGAAAATGTTGGATGTAGAATATAAATAAGCAGAAAATATTCATAGAACAATGTATATTTATATAGAATATCAACATCAGAAGGTCAGGACAGAAAAAGCCAAGCCAAAAGCATGAAAACAGAAAACAGCCAAATCCTGGAGATGTGCCCAAATAATGTGACTGAGTAAAAGCCTAAAAAGAAATCCATCTCATTTCCACTATGGCTGTTCACACAGGAATGATGTCAAGAAGCTTCTTAAAGCTTCCAGCATGTAAAGCATAGAGGATGGAAAAGCAATATAAATATAAAACATAAATGATCCATATAAGAAAATGCTCAAATCAGATTAAACATGTCAACTGAAATTACTGTATAAAAATATAACTATTTGGGGGAAATAAACACATTATATATAATGATAATAACGATTAAGCTGAGGAGGAACTCTTCCTGGAGTAAATGGATTCTTTCCAACACTTAAAGAATGAGGAAAAAAAGGTAAAAAGAGCTACACAACCTAAATAGGGGATTTGTGATGTTGCTGGTTATTGGGATAACAATATGACTTGTGCAATCTGCTTCAATACATGTTCCTGGACAAACAGCAGGGAAACGTGCCTCTAATGAAAGCGAATGTCGCTGGAAATGTGAAATATGGAAATATGAAATGTGCTCACGTAAATGTATCATGTAGGACATTTTCCCCAGCAGCGCCTCCACCCGCAGCACGCCGGCCTGCAGGTCGGCGGTGGTGCAGCCTGAGCCGGGGATCTGAGGGGAGGCACATCACACACGCGTGAGTGTGTGTTCTGGAGGCACCGGGGCTGCCACGGGCTTTTTCCCGCCACCCGGAACTGGACACGTTCCGTTTGGTAAAGTCTCCTTTACCTTTCTTTTAGCGTAAACAACCAGATGGACGGTGGCGTCCGTTTGGAACCAGTCATACCTAAAAGCACAGCAAACAGCACAAGATAAGTCAGGATAACGGGTTTTACTAATGTAACTACTGCGCGTGGCATCTCATGCCTCATACCGCGGCCGGGAGTCTTTATTGGGCGGAGGAGCCACTGCGGCCGGGGGGGCGAGGCTTGTAGGAGGAGGAGGCATGATAGCTGAAAAAAGCAGAGAAAAAAGGCTTCAAATGGGTTTGTTTCAGCTTTCCAATAACTCTTAAGGCCAGTATTGGATCAGAAAAGGGGAAGATCGCAGTATAATTGTCCTTTAAGATGGGTCCTTGTATTTTTGGTGGAGTGTGTGAGGCATCACAGATGTGAGCCAGAGAGCTGCTGCTTTTTCACAGTTTTAGAACATCAATTTCAAAACGTTTCCTAGAATAAGTGATTGTGTGTGCCATCTTACTGACCAAAATGTCCTTAATATAAGAGCGTCCCAGCCTTCTAGTTTCCTCAAAAGCTAAACGCTAACATTTGGTAATTTGTGAGAAGGCTGACAGCACTTCCTGCTGCACTCACTCAGCAGCTCAATATTGTCACAGCTTTTTTTAAACAGTCAAATTTGGACCCCTGCCTGCAGGTTGAAAGTAGCATTTTGTTCAAATTGGAAGAGTTGGTTATGGGAAATGTGTACTTAAGAAAATAGGTGTCCAGAACATAAAGTAATGTTTAAAAAGCATTTTCTGTTTAACTTAAAGACACTTTCTATTCTTAATCCATAGGATTGCAGCCATAACAGCTTCAACTTTTTTGGTAAGCCTGTGCACAAAGTTTTGGAGTGGGATTTAAGAAACTTTTCAACATTCTTTCAGCTTCACATGTTGTGAGGTGGACAGGAGGTCTTCCTCTGAGTCTCCACTGTGCTGAGTCAGCACTCTGTGCAGGCCACTGGAGGTCATCCACACCAAACTCTCTCCTCCATGTCTTTATGGACCATGTTGGAATAGGAAGGGACCATCTCCAAACTGTTCCCACACAGCTGGGAGCTTTAAATTGTCCAGAACCTCACTGGACCTAACAGGCCCACACCATAATCGCGCCTCCACCGAGCTTTACACACGGCCTGACACAGTCAGAGTACAGTGTGCGTCAGACCTCCAGATGGAGCGGTGGGATTGCAGCTGGAGTGGACAGCGTTCCATTCTTTGCTTGATTTTATACCCCCGTTGCCATGACAATGACTGGAAAAACTTGTTTGGATGGGCGAGCGAATATCTTTGGCAGGACAGTGTAGGAGTTACATGCTGTGTCTGCTGTAAGGACGTAAATGTGTGTTACCTTTTACAGCTGCCGTGGTTTTCGTTGCCATTCGGCCCACCAGGCACTCCTTCAACATGGATTCATAGTTCACCCAACGATGGACCTGGGCACAAACACACACAAAACCACATAGATGTGTTGAGTTAAACCTGAACACACACTCCACACTGAGCTATGGGACATGTGGTCACTTGATGTATAATATAAAAGAATCTGTAGATTCTTCAGACGCTTCCTGTCCTGATTTCTAAGGATCAGACCTAGACAAAACCAACATCGCTACAACGCCTTTTAGCTACCGATGCAATCAAATATGACAGCATGATGAGCCCTTCCAGTTTGAGTCTGCTGCCTGAAAGAGGAGCAGAAAGGTGAAAAAAACCCTCAGGTCTTCTCACACCTGGTCAAAGAGATCCGTCCCATCGATCCCGGCTGCTTTCATCAGCTCCTCCTCTCCCCCGGGGTGGTAGTCCATGTACGGGGTCACATTGTAAACCATACCTGAATGGAGATAAACAGAGGAAAAAAAGCCATGCGTGTTATGTACCAGTAGCCTCTGCAGACAGATCTCATGAACACTCACAGATTTAAGAGAGAATGATCTGTACACTGCTCAACTTTTTATCGCAGCTACAATCCCGCAGTTGGACAGCTTAAATATTTTAACCCTGTAATGCCAAATGTATCATATTTGATACATACGGTTTCTGAAATGTTTTGCGTCTGACTCCTTTTGCATAATTTAATGGTAAAAACTTTGCTCAAAATCCTATTGTACACAATCAGATACACCTGATAACAGGGGCAGAAGACTACACAAAAAATAATCTGGACTTATCGCATAGTAATAAATGACTAATATCAAAAATGTATTTCTGTTTTTTCTTTTTACATATTTTGTGAAAAGGCCAAATAAATACTTAAAACCAAAAAAAAGTAATTTTCTGTTTTGTTTTATTCTTGGATCGGGCTTTAAAGGGTAAATTAATCATCACAGAAGTCTAAAAAATGATTTTCTATTGAATGTGCTCTGCCTACCTAGACCTAAGACATAAGGAAGAATAGACAGACAGAAAGGGCAGAGCTTCTACTGTGGTGTGGAAACGCAGCCAGCTGTAAATGAACTTTTTAGGGACTAACGAACGAATGCATTCCTAAAATAAGTACAGGGTGTGAGGACTTCAAAAAGGTCAACAGTTTTTTAACAAGAGACAGATGACTAGCTGGTTGCTTCCTTTTTTTCGCTCTGCAGAAATAGTTGTGTCTACTGAAACAAACCAAACTAAAATGAAACCAAAACAATTGGAAGTCATCTTAAAGGGGGAAACTTTTTCTTACTCTGCTTCCTCATGAAAACAGCAGCAGCCTCTCAGCTTCTAAAACAGTGTCTTCTGCTTTAGTTCCAAATGGATTACACCTCTTTTTGTTATGCATTTCAGTTTGTCAGCTGGTTCAGACCTTTCACTTTCATAAAAATCACATATACCCTTTAGAAGCTGAGGATGAGGATTATGGGGATGAACTACAGTCAGAATACAGGATGAAACGGGACAGTGGGACACACATAGCTCTGAATCCTAAACTTTTGATCTTGTCCTGTGTAGTTTATATTCAGTTATTTTTTATCTTACGTCATAAATACTCAACTATGCTGAACTGTCACCCTCTTGGGTTGCATTGCGTCCATTCTGAACTTCCTCTCTCCTAGAGGATGATCTGATCATTCTAAGTCCTGTTTCCATTTTTTTAGATTAATCACTCTGCATAACATTGATGTTTGCAGTTTTTTTTTAATGTGCTAGTTTAGATTTTCTCTTACTTCAGTTGCTTTTATCTTGACTCTTATTTACGTGCACAGAGATGAAGCGTATTGTGTGAAGTGTATTGGCTGTTTTTGTCCTGTTACATCCCCCACAAAACAGAGAATTCTGTGATAGAGCAAAGTAGCTGAAACGGGATGTGGATCTTTTGAGCTGAAGCTCAGACCAGCAGCTGTCCACCCACTTCTCACCTCGGATGCAGGTCCAGCAGTCCTCTCTTGTGTTGTGTTTCTGCAGCTCCTCCTGACTCACGTCTATCAGACGCCCTCTGAGTCCAGTCAGGTCTTTCCCACTCTTGGCGAACCTGATCCAGTCCATCAGACTGTGGCCTGGCTTCAGCGCCACCTGGCAGGAGATCCAACATTTTCATATTAGCGTATAGATTTTTTTGTCATGCCCAAACAAACAGAACCAGTCAGATCCGGGGGTGTTTCATTGGATGTTGAATTGGGGTTCGGCTGTACCTTGTTTCTCCCGGACTGGCCGGACGGGGCGACCCTCTGCTGGGAGCTGGCCGCCGGGAAGGATTGGGTCGGAATGTTCAACATGTTGTGAACGCTTCGGAAGCAGCCCAAGTGTCTTACAAAACCTAATCAGCCGGCAACACGGAAGACACACGGAAGACAGCCTCTGTAATTACATTGGTTCCATTTTGTAAGCGGCACAGGCTCCTTCCTTGTTGTGACTCGTCCCTTTGCATTCGTTGAGTAACACAGTTTCCACACAGCGCGAAACTAAGCTAGGCTAACATGACGTACTGACAACCCTTTTTCATGACGTTAAATGAATTTAAGATAACGTTTTCTGGGTTAAATTAGTCCTTAACAATAACAAACACAATAGTTGCCTTGTGTAAGGGTTAATTACGAGGTGTCTGCGGCACTAGTGCTTTCTTTGCCGTTTCAAGACTACAATAATTGTCGCTTAGTGTGACGACAGAAATCAAACAGTGTCAACAAAATGCGCCGGTACCACGTGACCTGGCCAGCAGACGCAGCCACTTCCGTTATGTGTCCAATTGCGCTCCAGACTGGTCAAAATTTCAAAAAGTAGCGGTCAGCCAAACGAAAGTTAGGAAATGTTACCTGTACGCACAAAGGTCCTATTAATTCGTTTATTATGACTGCTTTGAGTGAGTTTTTCAGTGACCTGTCGAACGAAAATGTTCGAGTTGACACGAAAACGAACAATGACTCACCTGGAATGAACCTGATGAAAATGGTGGTGAGGAAAGAAGCGTTTCCTTCCCCACTGGCTGAACTAACGCTGTCACTGTCCTCATCGTCTCTCTGGTCTTCATTTGACATTGCGGAATCATAGTAGCTCAGCAGTGTTTATTTACAGTAAAACACATCCAGGGCCGGACCTCCATCATGGTAGCTGGATAGCGTTTATCTTTAAAAGGTTAATCTGATAAGAGGATTCCTGGACAAGAGTCATTTTTTCTTCAAAGTAAAGGTCACCAAAACCCTGGAGGGAAATTTTACATAGTGGACATCCAGTTGTTAGAGAAGTTATTATTTTTATTTCACAGTGCTGTAAAAATATTATGGGTAGTATATCGCTTTATAATTTAAGATGTATATTAATAATATTGCCTTATTGTATTGAAATGGTTGTAAAACGAATTTGTATTCATATTTATATTTTTTCAGATAAAATTTATTTTTGTAATATACATAACATTATTCTGGGGGTGAATCATATGAGAAAAAGGTACCCTTTGAAAGTTTTTCTTTTCACGTCTCAGGTCGCATGTAAAAAAAATCAGAAACATGTTAAACCTCTGTTGCCTGGCTGTAAAATCCCCTTTGACACACAAGAAAAAAACAACAACAAAGCAAACACATAGAAAATACATCATTTTCTAGGATTCTGTTTGCAACGCACACTAGATTAAAACATTTGTAGAAAAGAGATTTACATCAGATGAGTGTAGACGGTAATAAACCAGCTCCCACACAGATGATTCTTCAAAATGATCAAATGATAAGATACATTTATTCATCTTATAGATAATTACTTAGACAGTGACACAGAAGAATACATTAGTTGATATTAACTCAAAAAGCAGCATTTCCGCTGGCCATTGTGACAACACTGTTATTTTTCAAAAGTGTCATTTGACAAATGAGATTATGCATGCCTTATTTTTTAATAATCTTTAAAATGACACACATTTTAGCAGACCCTCAGGCTCTGTTTTGCTGCTCCCTATAGATGGCGCCACAAGTCAAGCGTGAACAAGGGCTGGAGCGTGTTGCACAGTCTTTTATTTCATCTTAGAAAAGGAAGATATCTGTTCTGCCTATATGACGAGAGCATCTCTCAGTGTGTCACAGAGAGAGCTCCCACTTTTTCCCATTTGAAGTGTGTTCCATTTCTACTCCTAGATATATGCTTTATCTTCATCCTCTTTCTTGTCACTCCGTCCATTTTCTCCTCCCCCATCGGAGACACAGCTGAAGGGCAGATAATTACAATTTCAAAACCATTTGCCAGATCATTACCGGCTAATCCCGTGTTTGGTCTGATGAGTCACGCGTCTTATTTGCCATGGTGAGGGGAGGCTTGTGGCCCTTTCACAAACACAGGCCCTGGGCCCCAACATTTGTGGGGGTTTGGCGTTCCTTTGGTGCAATCAGGGACTGAAACACAGAGTGGGAACCCAGATGACCAGGCTCAAAATCAGAGTGGAAGCAACTAAAAACTGATCAGATTTTCTTTTGTTTAAAACGACTGCCCCTGATATTTTCTTCTTGCTCTAAATTCTGAGATATCTTCAAAATCAATCACATGATTTCAATAGATGGGTTCTCCTTGCCACCTCTTTACATTGCAGTTGTGAAGATAAGCAGCACAAGGTATTTTTGGTTTCATAAGAAACATTAGACAATAAAGCCTCATCTTCTGAAAGTTCAAGTCTTACTGTTGGTGTGATGTTTCCATAGTTAATTCATGAGTTAATTCATAGTACCGACGGTCTCCTAGACTACAAATAGACTATAAGGGATAAAGCAAAGGAAGGTTAGATAATTAAATAGCTTTGGAAGCCTTCTCAGTAACTATGTTAGTTTAAATTAATCAATCTTACCAAAGTCTTAATGAATTTCCCAAAAGAAATGTAATAATAATATGTTGAGCACTGGCTACTTGCTGTATTCACATGTTTGATCTTCTACTGTTTGAGTAAGATACATGTGCATGTACCAGCAGCATTTTAAACTCTTTACCCAAAAAATACTAGATTTGGAGAAGCAGACGAAGCATGAGAATGATACCCAGAGAGAGCTAATGGTACAGTACCATTTAGCTGAGGACTAATATCACCTGAAACATGTAATCATTGCAAAGGGACCACCAGCACGCACTCTGCTCAGGAGTGACTTACACTAACGACACAATAATGGCCTGTGGGAGAAATGTCATGATAGAAGTTCATGTTTTTTTAGAGAGAGGGAGGAAAGATGTTATAGAGCCAGAACATAAAATATGGGCTGGTTATATACAGTTCAATTCAGATGCAAAATGCTTTACTTATCCCAGAAGAAAATGAAATATCCCCTGTGTTTGTGACAGCAACTCTAAACTGAACAAGTTTAGATAGCATTGGTGCTCAGAAAGTGGATGAAGCGACGCCCTAAATGATCCTTTTACATAGCTCAGAATTTTCTCTGAAGACCTCCTTACACTCTTTCACCTCTGACCCAAGCTGAGGTTTCACACGCAGTCGAATCTGTCAATAGATACACATCTGTCAATAGACAGATTCGACTCACATCCTCGACGATTAATAACCAATGGCATGCTACACGCTTTATTTTTATATTTAACCCTGTAATGCCAAATGTATCATATTTTATACATAGTGTTTCTGAAATGTTTTGCGTCTGACACCTTTTGCATCATTTAATGGTAAAAACTTTACTCAAAATCCTATTTTACACCATCAGATATACCTGATAACAGGGGGGCAGAAGACTACACAGAAAATAATCTTTACTTATTGCATAGTAATAAATTATTAATATTAAAAATGTATTTCTGTTTATTCTTTTTACATATTTTGTTAAAAGGCCAAATAAAGACTTCAAACCAAAAAAAGTAATTTTCTGTTTTGTTTCATTCTTGGATCAGGCTTTAAAGGGTTAAAAACAGAGTTTCTGTAAATTAATATTATAACTAACCTAAAGCAACATTACTCTGCTTTTATAGCTCTTCCTGTTGCTGTCTTAAACTGTTAAATTTCTGGATTTGCTTGTAATACTTTTCAAAAAGACGGTGAGGGATTAATTATCGATAAACCTGCACGAGTCTCATGAGTCCCAGAGATGTCATCACAACCAAACCGCCCAGACAACTCCTGTTCACGATAGAGGGGGCAGACGGGGGAGGAGGGGCAGGAGCGAAAATAGCTGTGTGAGTGTTATTTGAGCAACTTTCCTAGAGAAACTCTCAGCAGGACAAAACCAACTGAGAGCCCATTAAATCGGTGGGAGGGCCGAGTCGTTCTGTCACAGTAGATCCCCGAGTCCAGACTGTGAGCCAAGGCTGAAACCAAAAAGAAGATATGTACACAACTAACTAACTAACTAACTAACTAACTAACTAACTAACTAACTAAC